CATCCATCATAGCCTTGTCCAACTAATTTGGAGAGATCGAGGCCTATGTCTGAGCAAGTCATCACAATTACATTCGCTACAAAATTACATTCGGCAGTTAACTGAGACAAGGGAACAAATCCTAAAAACTCCTCGCAAATGCAGGGAAGTGCAGAGTTTCCCTCCAGAAACCTCACACCCAGGGAAAGTTGCTGGATTCCGGATATGTCAGCTGTTTCGTCAGCTAGTACAGAAAGCGCAACTGAAGCATTGGCTGCTGCCACAATGTCATTCTGAAGAATCCTACCACAGATTCCAATTAGCTCATTCTGAGTCCTAGTCGATGTGTATCGAGCTGTTGGTGGGGTAGTCTGCAGATGTTTCTCTAATACTTCATCCCCAGCTTCAACACGGAATTCGAGCAGAGCTTCAAGGTTCCCAGAAGTGCGATATCATGAGTGCCACGGTACACAACTGAGGACACAATCGGGAGAAGTTTCTTGCGGTTTTCTTCAACAGCTCGCCTGTCATCAAACCTTTGTTCGATAGACACTAGCTTATTGGTTTTGATGCTGAGGAAGTTTGTTGCATCTTCATGAGAACAGCGGTGCCAACGAGATTTTACATGCTCTTTGGCAGCTTCGTTGAAGTCTTTGTATTTCTTGAATGGCCTAGTAATAAAGGCACCGGCACCCTGCACGCCTCTTGAAACTTTCTGGGGGAAGACGACCCAAAACTTGCAGAGCGCTCCCTTCAAGGAACAATCTTTCTTCAATGGAATCTTTCTTCTCTTACTAAATGTATTTTCAAGCAGCGTACCTCCATTTTCTGTACTTGTATGTATGCATGATGAATTTTATTTTCTAGACGAATTTAGACGACATTTCAAATGGACTTTAGTCCATTTGAAATGTCTAAATTCGTCTAGAACAAGAATATGACAGGAACAAGAATATGACAGCCACGGAGAGTATAGAGTCAACAATGCATGACGAAATGCCCTAGGCCCTATTGAGTCACTCTTGAAGTCATGGGTATCTCGGGGTTCCCAACACTTAGTATTTTTGTTGCTCTGATAATGGCTGTCCAGTGTTTCGGTCGCCGCCGCTGCTTCAACTGTTGTGGTGACTACCGGCACCTCACGTGTCTCAGAACTGCTTGATACTACTGACTGAGTAACATCAATCTCTTGATTCCGGCATACACAGGACATCGTCGGTTTTTTTCCTTCAGGAATCGACGAATGTCCATTGTTCAAAACTACAAAATAACAAATGTAACCCTAAGCTTATAAGTACGTTTTAAGGGTGCCTTCTTTAAAGATTTTATTTTTTCGCAAACTGGACAAAAATAAGTACCAAGGTGCGTCGGCAGGCATTGGCTCTCTCGACTCGGGCAGGCCTACCGTAGGCCTAGTGCAAACGACCCACAACGAAGACAGGATATACACTAGTCATTCAGCCTGGGATACTTTCATTCCATATTGTACGATAACCTAGCACTACGAAAGTACTGTATGGCGAAAGAGGAAACTTACCCAAAGATGACTTTTCATGAATTCTTACACTCACACCAGTGCGGCTCGTGGGCGAAAAACCTGGGGAGGCTAGCTCATGATCTTTATAATGAACAAGAATTCATTGTTATATTAATGAAGCACAAAAGGTGTGCTTAGGTCAGTCGCTGAGCGAGGAACCGTTTCATGTTTCATGTTCATATAGTATCGAAATCATGCAAAAGCAGAGCGGGAATCCATCGAACACTTGAGCGAAAGCAGAGGTGCATCCGGCCCAGTGAGAAAAGTAATGGATGACGACTTCTTCCTCTCGCGAGTTTCACAATTTCTAAACAAAATCATAACTATCACACCTAGCAAATATCATAATTATGTATAATATATATTGGTTTTGTTTTCATTCATAGCAACTGCGTAGATATAAATTGGCAATGCGAATTTGGATGACCGAAAAGCTCTCTCCTTGAGGCAAAGGAGATTAAATACTGTACATGTTCACTCTTGCTAATAGGCACCTGCTCATACGCAATTCAGACGGTGATACCGGCCTCCCTCCTCTCGTATACTATTGTATTGCTAGTGCTACGGGATACCCCCATAGAGCATCCCCTATGCATGGTCTATGAGCCAGAGGAGGCTACCAGGCGCTGGCCTCCCGTACGCGATTCTGGGAAGGAATAAGCTATCAGAGACCGGACTTCACTCGTTTTGTGTCGATGTAGAATGAATCCAATGAGAGATTTATTTCAGTGATTTGCTATCCTAATGGATATTTTCAATTATAAGGGGAAGGGTCTCCTGAGAATTGTTGAGGAGGCCGGGCCTCTCTTGCCTCCCGTGACGAGCCGCCACTGACACACCATGGACTCGCCTTGCCATGGCGACGTACGCGATGTCATATAGAGCACTAGTGTTACCGGAGCCTCTAGACCAGATGGGTTGAGTTAAATTTCTAACTCGTTTGGCCTAGTAACATCATCTTTTGGTTGGAGGAATAAATACACTTTGCTTGATAAGATTGGAAACGATATTTCATATTGCGTGGCAAGATTTGTCTAAATGGTGCAACGGAAGAAGCGATTTCCACATTAAATTCATTAAATTTTTTTCCCTTTGGTACTGCCAGTAAATTGCCATACCCGATTTCCAGGGGGAGGGGGCCAGGGGCAAGCGCCCCCCCTTGCCCCTTAGAGCGGACGCCCATGGCAACGTATATGTAATGAAGAAGTAGCGATTTGCAACGTAAATGCAATGTTCCTTCGCAACATTGGAGCAACGTTGACGTTTTGGACATTTACACATTGATGCAACATTGTTCATCGACATTTCCTAAGCGTTGCTGGAATATCTTGTGTTACTTGGGGATCGGCCCAAGGCTACACGCCCTCAGGGAAACATCTAGAAAATCTCGAGAATGAGTCTTGTTGGCCTAATTTTCCCGTAAGTGGAGGATTGCAATTCTGTGGAATATAATGAGGTAGGCCTAGGCCTACCATGAGGGAGTTTCATGAAAACGAGGTGGGGGAGGGTTGGCGTTTGTTGAAAGAAGCATTTGATGAATGGTTTCCGTTTTATTTCATGCTACATTGCAGAGTCAGCTTCCATTTATGTGGATTCTGTCTCTCTTCCCGAGCGTTCCGCAAGCGTTGCTGCATCCAGTAGCTAGAAAGGGAGGATGTCGTTATATAGTGGTTATATTTCATACAGTTCTGTAAATTTTCCTTTCTAGAGCTATCATTATTCTTAGTTTGAAACGTAAAAGATGCGTTCTAGGTTGCCCACTGCGCCAATTTTGTAATAACGAAATTTCAGAAGACACTTGTCCTTTTGTATCACTCCTGCCTTGAATCGTGCAGTTGCAAGACTTTAGTCCTGACATTCTTGATCGATTCGACGGCATGCAAGGAGGTATAACATTGTCCTTCTTTCCATCCAAGATTTCCACGTCGGAGAGAAACAAACGATCTCCGAAAATAGTTGGATATAATGGAAAAATCGGATATACTTCTGCAGGAAACAGCGAATTCGTCCAATGTCGTCGCTTATTTATGACGGAATGAAAGCCAAAGGACACGTACAAATGCCATCACTATGACGCCGTTCACCAACACTGTTCTTTATGCACAGCATGGAAAAAAAAGTTCAGCATATGTTGTAATTGGTAATACCTGTATAGCATTTCGAGTCAACAGAATCAGGGACCCGTGCAGCATAGCAAATGCGTATAAAAATAATAGTTGCAGCGTTTGAGCTGCGATTGATGCACGCTTCACTCGATGCCACTCTGAGGAGCGAAGTCATCTCTTCCTGGAGAAACTTTCGCTATTCGTGTCCTCATGCTCCGGCGTTTTACCAAAGGCAGGTAACTCACGCTTGAATATTTGCTTGCCGCATTACGGGGGCGGGCACAATGAAAGTTAATGTTAATTGTCATCTCCACGTTCACGTGTGAAGAGTAAACAGAGAGAAGAATGCATGGAAGTATCGTGATCTCTGCGTGTTTCAGCCGGCGACGAGAGCGGATGCAGAGAACCTCCTGTCATTGAAAACGGAGATTTTAGAATATTATCTTGCCCCGATATTACCAAGAAGTAAGTCGCTCCAATAACGATTGTGATAATACAAAGACCTATATTTACATGAATCGTATGCTTGCAAACATTAATGACTAGGCCTCAGTTGAAGAAGTTGAACTTCTCATTGCTACTTTTTGAGGGCCGGTCATAGCAGTGGAACTGAAGAGGTAGATGGCAAAAACAAGACGGAATGCATCGAAAATGGGATGCATGCGACTGGAAGCAAAGTGATGTACACCTGCAGTCAGCATTATCTTCTCCAGGGAACACCGATTCGGACTTGCAGGAAAAATGGGCAGTGGACGGGACAGCCTCCTTTTTGCGAGCCTGGTCAGTTGGCACATCGATGTTCCAAACCTCCATCTATCGCGTTTCAGGATGAACTTTTCAGAAACGTTCCATATCTGCTCAAATTCCAGAATGTGGAACCGAGACGGCTGAAAAGGTCAGCTGGGGGGTCTGCATCTAATATTGGAGAGTGGCCGTGGCAGGCTGCCATTCATGATGTCAAACGAGGAGATATCATTTGTGGTAGGGCTCTCATTAACGAGGAGTGGGTTCTTACCGCGGCTTATTGCCTTACCATTGCTGGTACCTCAAGAGCTCCGAGCACAGATGATATCCTCGTTTATCTCGGAAAACACTATAGAAATACTTTCCTGGATGATGAGTTCGTGCAACAAAAGCAGGCGATTCATGAGTTCTCACGTATGCTTCGCACTCCCGCGTAATGAGAAAAAATTGACATGGTCTGCTCCCAGGTGTCTAGTATCATCCTGCACGAAGACTTCAATTTCCACAATTATGACTCGGCCATTGCCCTGGTGAGGCTGACTGAGCCGGCAATTTTATCCGACCAAGTGCAGATAGTATGTCTCCTAACTGGATTTGATCTGTCGCAACAAAACCTCGAAAATGGAAAGCGAGGATGGGTAAGACATGGCGTTTCTTGTTCGCGCTTTCACCTTCCTAGTGGCTTCTTATTTATTATGTAGTTTGATTTCAGGTGGCTGGTTGGGGTTTTAATGAATCTGATATCCTCAGTGAGGAGTTGACGGAAGCGGAGATCCCAGTTTTATCCAATCGCAAATGCATTCGGGACACCATTCATTTTACAGGCGACCCAAGCATGGCCAGAGCCCTCACGTCGAACATGTTTTGTGCAGGGTACGACAAGGAAACTTCTCTTGAAGGTGAGGCACGAAAGCGGCGAAACGTTTTCATTGCAATTGTTCGTTTACTCTCTTTCTTAAGACATCCCATTCCAAACTTTTGAATCCAATTTGAATCCTTCTAAATGCCTGCGCAATCGCCCTCTGCAAGCAAGAATGGCAGCCATTTCTTTCAGCACATCGAAGTACGCTACCTGAAATCCATGATTATGCAGGTGGTGAACTATTAATAAAATCAAGCAAAGAGTCATTAATCATTGAATCTCGTCTTAGAGGCAAGGAATTCGTTTCTGTCACTTGAGGTTGAAGAGATATATTACTTTAAAGACTTTCGATACACCGTTTGCAAATTTCCAGTTGAAGCTCTTCCAGCACAAATCAGGTGTTACCAAGGCGTCGTTCCGATCTTAACCTATCAGTATCATCTCTTTTCACTTGCCATTACGAACATTTTAATTTTTTTATAATGGTTTATTCGAATGGAGATCATTTCAAGCATTCCATTTAATACGGACTGTCCGTCATTGGAATTGAAACACCAAGATGTTGAGCGAAACTGAAGACATATGGTTTGAAAAAAAGAAAATTCATCGTGGTATATCGAGGAACATGTTGACCGTCCAAGGGCAAATCATGATTCTTCCCAAAGATAACTCTCCAAATGTAATATTTTAACATGCGTGACAATGTAAAAAAACCATTCAAAAGATACATCCAGAAAGAGTCTTCCTTTGAAATGTGAAAAAGGAACTTGGAATGTTGTATAGATGAATGATGACGTAAATGATGAATGACATGGCGTAGTTTCAAGGTCAAATAAGAAAGCCATACAATCCTAATGACACAAAGTGTGATTCACGTCCATTGATGAGTGACATGAATGGTGAGGATAGCAGTACCATTCTGGAATTCAGAATGATGCTTTTTTCATGTTTTGGTTGAGGATTCACTATGCACACATTTATCAATGTTATCGGATTTCCTACTTAGATTACAAAACGGTGTGTCAAGGGGATTCGGGTAGTCCAATGGTGTTTTTCTCGGAGAGTCGCTGGCATGTAGAAGGAATCGTGAGTCACTTTTTTTCAAAAGCGCCATGCTCAAGGAAACGCCCAGGTCAGTATGCCATTTTCACCCAAGTCAATCGGTGAGACTAAAACTCTTTTTTTTTCGCTTTCTTCTGCAGCACCCTCGATCATTCTCGATCATTGATTGATCCATGCGAAAACTTCACACTCACAGGTTCATTTCTTGGATTGAGTCGAAGATGAAGAAAGCATCATGAAGGCCCTCGCATCTATCACTTACCCCTCATGTCTTTTACACTGGATCGGTGATTGAGCAAAATTGATGAATTAGCTTGCAAATTGCGAGAAATTGTTCATCCTCTTGTCATAGTTCGGAGTCCAACGTTCCGTTCCTTTTGACGCACATTTACAGAGTAATTTTCCATCCAATTCACGGGGAAAGTGAAAATTCGCCAGTGAGCAGGCAATGGTATTCATAAATTCTCGTTATTTTTTCTAAACATTTTTAATCCCTGCGATAGGTATTCACTAACATTGCGAGCAAAGTGCTTGAAAATCATATCACGAATAGACTTTTTGCAATTCGATGCCTGTGAGTGTTTTCTTTCTTTCCCAACCTGCTGAAACTATTGTGGAATATATCATTTTTCTTGGGTGACTGAATTCCGACTTTTTTTTAGATGTTCCATGGAAACGATTACGAACGTGTTCGTTTCCCCTTTGGACAAAATGGTATATGAAGTAAATAAATGCAGTCGACTCCGCATATCGGAATATTCACGGGACCAGGGACCTTTATTCCATAATCCAGAGAATTCCAATAACAAAATAAATATCTGCCGTATCGTACCGTGAATCAGGGCCTTGCAATCTTATTAAATTATGCGATGTCGATTATAGATTAAATCTTCTGAAAGGTGAACCCTCGGCAGCCACGCGTCCAATATATTAAAATCGATTACAACGTTATAAATGTGACGTCAAGATCTTTCGGTTACTCGTTGATATCATTGTTAATTTGAGGTCGGCAATTTGAAATAAAGGGAGATTCCTAGTCCGAACCTAACACAGATAGCCAATCTTCATTGGGCCAAGCATGAAAGCATGACATATCATCGGCAAAGTGCTTGGACCACCCTCGGCTGCCAACGGTGGGCCAATCCTGAAAAATCTCATCGGCCAGCGATAAGCAATGAATCGGGGCAAGAATAGCCCAATATTGACAACGTGATTGGTGCTTTCTTGGTTGCCAAGAAAGGTCCAAGATATATATATACTAGCGGCCAGCGGCCGCTACGCTGCCCGTCTAATAGGTGGAAATTTGAATCGTCTATTGTGAGCATAACGTCTCCTTGACATTCCTCTTTTCATCGCATTACCCATTCGGAACTGAACCGCTTCATTACATTTCCTTGGAGATTCTGTTACTAAACCCCATCATCATGATATTCCGGCTGATTGGCACAATCGCCATTGTGAACGCCTCGGTTTAGCACATCACCTCGCAAAAATCGCCACCATTTTGATGGGAGGAGCGGCCCGTTTCCGCGAGGTATGAAACAAAGAACTTACGTTATTATTTTGATTTCATCAATCATGAGAACTCAAATAAATTGATCATGACATGAAACGCAAAGAGAAAACTATTGCATGGAAGTGATGTCCCGAACCGCCATGCTTGATCTAACGGAAAAAAATAAAGAAAAAAAACGTTGACACTGCTAAGTACGAAGCCTATGGCTCAGACTGATATAGCTCGATAGAGCTGGCGCTAAAAGCTTTGGATGGTCAAGCCTATGGCCTATAATAGTATAGCCCCAAGGACCTGTCGCTTTGAAGGGTGGATGGCTAGCTTATGGCCTGAAGTGACAAAGTCTCGTAGGCCTCGCGCGCTGGGGTGACAACCACCACCACCACCACAACTCTCGGGCTCTTGGAATTAAAGTATAAGATGGCCTGGAAAGGTGTAACCTTGTTGGCCTGGCGCTTTAGGCCGTGGATGGCCTGGCCTATGACCCAGAATGGCATTGCATCGTAGGCCCGCGCGCTGGGGGTGACAGCCACGACCACCACCACCACCACCACAGCTTTTAACCTCTTCGAATTAAAGAATTAGATATTTATCGCGCGTGCCAGATATTGCTTAATTACTTATCTTTAAATAATGGTACTTAATGTTATTATTATAGTATTTGAGCAGAGCAAAGTCATTCAAGTGTACCAATATTGGTACTCCAGAGGTGATGCTGCACTCTCTTGTTCTATTGCATAAGTAGCATTTCCGAACTCAAACCATTAGTCCCGTCGAATTGCCCCGACGAGGCGGCGATGGTTGGAGTTCGCAGTTCCTAGAACTAGTAAAGTAAAGCTACTGGTAAAGTTACTAGAACATCACTTCAAAGTACTTAGGCTCTGAATACGACGTTATTTCTTACTTATAAAGTTAGGAGCTAAAGGTATGGTGGGCCCCGCTCTCGTGTGGTGGTCCGACAGATGACTCTCGCACACCATGGTGAGATCCTCCCGACATGAGGGCTGGCACAGAGCAAGATCCTCATGAAGTTAATGACTTAGCCCTGAGAAGGTGATTCATGGCTATGAGGGAGAAGTCAGCCCGAGAAAGAGCTGCTTTCCCCCCAGGACCTCTCCCTTGAGGTTTCTTATCATTAGGAAATTCATTAAAGAGTAACTATGCGGCCTTATTGAGAAAGCAACGTGAATTTATTCAGATTAGTATCTGTGCTTCGGGGCGCTTTGTGTTTAGGTCCACCTGAGCCGAAGAGGATTGAGATCTATAGTGTCAAAGGTGTTTTACTGAGAGGCTTCGACCGTTTGGTTGAATTCTGAACCTCCAAACAATTTTCCTTCCGTCGTCTCTTTCATCTCGTGTCCGAATTGGGGCGAGGAGTGACCACAGTCTGTAACGCAGTCGGCTCAATTGTAACCATGGCATGCAACTTGTTATTTGATGGCAATCGATATCAAGTCAATTGGTATTTTCCCTTGGAAATCTGATCTCAAGCACACTTGGAGTCAGTTTTGGCTCATTCATTCATGTTGTTCATGTCAGTTCATTTTAAATGAACATTGATTTAATTGCTGATTCTGTTGCGAAAATGTATCCACGTGTTTCACAGAGTTCCTGAATAATGACTTTTAAAACATGAATGTTCTGATTTTACAGCGCTGATCCAAATGGGGGATGTGTTCGCCAAGTGGAGACAAGCAGACATAAGAAAATTTTTTTTCTTTCGTAGTCTTACTGAACGCGCATGAACTTTTCATCCATCCATCCGTCCATCCATCAATTCCATCCATATCCATATACATACTATAATAGAATACACTAAGGAGATTCATGGTAAGTGTAGCCTCTGGCCTATAAAGCTTTTGCCTCTCAAGGATATAGGCTAAATAGCCCATAGGCCTATAAGCCCTTGCTTTTCCAGATCATAGGCTTCGTAGCCGATCGGCCCATCAGCCTTTTCCTTTCCATAGCAAGGCGCGCTTCGTAATTCGTCCATGCAGATGTTAGGTCTACAAGCCTTTGAGGACCTTGGTTGGGTGGGATGGGTTAGACAGCTTAATAATATGTGATCCGGGCGCGTATTAGAAGCACCGAGGCTACGTAGATCTGTACTGACTGATGAGCAATTTGATGATATTAATGCCGATAGGAGAGCTGCCTTAATTGTCGAGCAACATAAGACTGTTAACATTGCGCGCAGAACTGCGCGTGTACGCGTCGACCCTTTAACGATGCTCGAGTTGCGTTGGCTAGGACGCCCAACGTCATACCAGCCGTTTTCGCATGATCGCTACCATATGAACGTGCCCTGTCGAGCACTGCCTGGCTTTTCATTTCGAGCCGTTTGGCCTACGAGCCTTTTTCCTCTCCAGGTTAAAGGCTAGGCGGGATGGATTAGTTTTTTCACTGCGAAAGTCTTAGCTGTCACTCGCCGTCTCTGTTTATTTCACATGCTGCAACGCATATGGTGAGGGGGACGTAAATATACGCTCGAGCATCCAGCAGCCTCGAATGTCGAGACCTTAAGGATTTACCCACGTTATTTCCTTCAATGGAAAAATGTGTATGAAAAGACCAAGGCCAATTCAATAAAGGAGAGCAAGGACATCGAATGAATTCATCAGAAAGAAATTCCACAAAACTCTTAGAAAATGCCAGCACTGGCTGGTAAAATTACGCACATGCATCGTACATCATAGGTGTGAAACGTTCCGCTGCTAAGGAGATTTGGAAGTTTCCTGCGTAAAACACAATTACATTCTTGGGTGCAGCATGTTTATTGAAGATATAGAAACCATGATTACAATGCCATAGGCGATAGGAATCAACGGTTGCACGGCACTCTGTACTCGAGTACATTCATGCGCCGCAGCGAAAGGGTTAAGCAGCTAAATAATTTAGATCTGATGCGAAGCGCCTGCAGAACGGAAGCGGCGAGACAATGTAGGTCTGCACTAATCAGTGCACATTGTAATGATGTTAATTCCGAGAGGAGAGCTGAATCGAGGCAGCGTTGGGCTGCGTTAACCGCAGAGCAACGTGAGGCTGTTAACGCTAGGCGTAGAGCAGCGCGTGCACGCGTCAAACCAACATCCAATACTCTCGCTGCGGTGGCCGGCACGCCCAACGTCATTCCAGCCGTTTAGCACAATCTCGGCACTAATGCTCTGGTGAACACTACCGGGCTGTTTGTTTTGATGCGAAGAAAGGCTAACTGCGCAATAACGCAGATTTGCGCAACCACGCACGATTTCTGGAAGAAAAAGACTTCATTATTTCATTCCATTGCCGAAGGAAAAAGTTGCTACCAAAACGCATTCCTTCTCATCTGTTTCAAAAGAAGAGAAAGTTACTGTCCTGCGAGATGATCCTGCAATTTGAAAGCTTCAGTCCTGAAAAACGTATTGTTCTTCAGCTTGGCCCAGTTTTAGTTCCAAGTAATTTTTATCTGTTAATATAACGAAGACCCGGACGATGTCATTTCAATACCGTTATTTTCAACATGGATTCAACGTTTCCTCGATGTTGACATCAACATTGATCCCATACTGAAGTGTCATTTTAATTAACCCATAAGCATGGTACAGTGCTTTCACGTGAGGCTGTCTTTTCTTAAAATAAAACAGATTCAAGTGATGAACACTATATGATGATCACATACCACGTTGGCCCTACAATGGCCCCTGCATGGCAAGCTCGGCAGATCATCGGCATTGGCAGACATGTTTGGCCCATTCCTGGCTCTAGCGTGGCTAGTCATTTTTCGGCACTTCATTGGCGGAGGACATATGCCCTTTCTTGGCACTAAGCTGGTTTCCCATTATTGGCATTTCATTGGCAAAAGGAACAGGCCCATCCATGGGATTAGTCAGGTTTAACATTATAGGCGCATCATTGGCAAAAGACACAGGTCCAGTTAAGGCTCCAGGTTGGCTTGCAATTAAATTCGACATGTATCGGCTGCACGCAAAATTGTTTTGCATTATTGCCAATTTTGGCAATAATGTAATTATTATTAATGGAATAAAACATCATTACAATGTGCACTGATTAGTGCAGACCTACACTGTCTCGCCGCTTCCATTCTGCAGGCTCTTCGCATCACATCTATATTATTTAGCTGCTTAACCCTTCCGCTGCGGCGCATGAATATACTCGAGTGCAGAGTGCCGTGCAACCGTTGATTTCTATCGCCTATGGCATTGTAATCATGGTTTCTATATCTTCAATAAGCAGGCTGCACCCAAGAATGTAATTGTGTTTTACGCAGGAAACTTCCAAATCTCCTTAGCAGCGGAACGTTTCACACCTATGAAGTAGTGAAGATCATATATTGCATGCATCAATAGGGGAACAAAATCACCTCGCATATATCAGCATGGGTGGCCAAAACTGACTCCAAGTGTGCTTGAGATCAGATTTCCAAGGGAAAATACCAATTGACTTGATATCGATTGCCACCAAATAACAAGTTGCATGCCATAGTTACAATTGAGCCGACTGCGTTGACAATTTAATTTTTCTATTACTTCAGAACAACAGCCTCATGAAGGAATTAATAATTAATTAATTAATCGTTTTCAAATAATTATTACAGACTGTGGTCACTCCTCGCCCCAATTCGGACACGAGATGAAAGAGACGACGGAAGGAAAATTGTTTGGAGGTTCTGAATTCAAGCAAACGGTCGAAGCCTCTCAGCATGAGGTTTCCTAAGTTGGAGTCTTTCCTTTGTCCTTGGTTGGAACTTGCGAGCGTCCTAAGTCTCAGGCATATTCGGGTTTTCTTTTTTGTACCGTAATTTTCATTTCCACCACTGATACTAGATTGTATTCTTCGATCAAGAGTAGAGACATTTACATGCTTTGCGATTGCCTGTCCAAAAGTGAGGGAAAATCCACTCTGGAAGGGGTAATTTCATTGTCTCTCTCAAATTTGCTTTGATTTTCCAAATCGCTCTTTATCGTTGTCGAGGTTGAGCTGAAGTCATTGTATTCAAGGAGATTAAGGAATATAAATACTTCGACAGTACTAAGTACACACACATCATCAGTCTCCTGGAAATTCCCCTCCCTCTAGCAACTCAACTACCACAGCGATTGTAAAGACAAGTAACATCGTCATCTCGGTACGAGGTAAAGATGAGAAAATGAGCGTGAACCACCCCTCCTCCCCACTGGAGAAACCTGGCGAAGTCAATCACGCGGCAGATCACGTCCTTGAAAGTGGAAAGACAGAGGTTCCTTTGAGATACTTCCACGAAGGCGTAGTTTCTCCGAGTCGGACTGCCCCGGTCCGACTCGGAGAATGACATGGAGAATGACGGCCAAGGATGACGTGGACCTTGCTCCCTCCCGCTCAGTCGTCAACTGCCCGCTGTGGTGTGTGCCTGCTCCAAAGGTTTGGAAATTTCTTTTATGAAGTAACTAGTCGAAGCCCGGATCCTCCGGGTCTAACCTTTATGGCTTTCGTACACATGAAATATCCTGCTCACATGGCTTATGTGCACACGAACTACCCTGTACACTGATTTTTGATGTGAAAGAGGTTCCCACCAACCACCCAGTTTTTCTCAAAGACCACCTCAGTTTAAGTATTGCTGTATGAAGTTCTCATGAACCACCTGGATTTTCTTAAAGACATCCTCATGGAGAAGAAGCACGCTTTTTTAATGTGGGTCGCATCCACGGACAGAAGGCTTTATAGTACTTCTTTGTACACGGGATTTC